GTAGCTTGTGATCAGAGCTGTTGCGCTATATCCTTTATCGTTTTCATTATTCTCATTAAGAGTTTGTTTCGTGTACAATTCACCGAGAACACGGGCAAAGAACAGGAATCTAGAGGGCTGAGGGAAGCATTTTAAAGTGGAACGTGTGAGCTACGATAGTTAACAGGCTGCAAAAGTGTGTTGCATGCCTCCGTGTCAGGCTGTTGCTCATCATGGCATGCGTGTGTATGTGTGTGCGCGTGCGCGGTAACAGGTCACACGTTGGTTGATTGAAAAGTCGATCTTCGGTCCAAAAAGTTTGGGCACCCCTGCTCTAGATTGTCCCGCAGCTTGAATGTAAGCACGGATGGTTTTTCGTCCATGTGTGCCCTGCGATAGGGCTGGCAACCAGTTCAGGGCGTCCCCCGCCTACTGCCCAAAGACAGCTGGGATAGGCTCCAGAACGACCCGCGACCCCTGTGAGGATAAGACGGTCAGAAAATGGATGGAGGGATGAATGGATGATGTTTTGCCATTCACAGTCTTCATCTATGTGGGGACAAATGTTCATCTGTTATGTCTGCCTTGAGATTTTCGCTTGCTTCACGTGCTTCGATTTTCCATTGTTCATACAAGCAGTTGAGCTTTTTTCTTTTTTGTGACTTCCTCCTTTTGATAGGCAGCCATTTTTTTTTTTGGAACCTTGGGGCGAGCAGAGTGCCGAGCTTCAACTTCACTGGTTTAGACGTCACAATTGAGTTCAGCCAGCATTTTTTCTTTACTTTGATTGCTTGCTCTATATCCAGTCTTGCAGTTTGCCCTGCTTTTTTGGGCAGTACTTTCTAGTCTTTGTTTTACATTTGTTCACAGGAAATTTATTCATCAGTGTCCTTATCGGAAATGGCCGAAGGCTGAGTAACTTACATCGTTTAGCCAACACTGCCACCTGGTGTTACTTATAGGTCGGAGTTGGTCACGGTGGTGACGTGAAGCAGCAATGGAGGAGAGCAAACGGTCAAGGTCTGACTGTAGCGTCGGTTGAAATAATAAAGCTTTACAGGTAGTAGAAAGTTTCCTTTTTATTTCTTCGTTGCCGTATAAAACTCTCACACCGTAAGAGCTACAACATAAAACAGATATGACGCCATAAGTCGCACTTATCTACGTACATATAAAGGGCGATCAATGAAACATATTCGAATCACAAACACAAGTTTGTAGAAAGATAAACACAAATATTTACCTTGTCGCCACTTCAACCTGGCTCAGTACTTTTAAACTCTTAATTTTGTCGTCTACGAATCTGTTTCAGCTTTCCGAATAGTCTGATCTGCACTCTCAATTCACCCTTTCCTCAGTCGTTATCTCTTTCCGTTTTCCTCCCAAGAAAGACTTCCGCTTAACAAAAAATCAAAAATAAAGGTCGATGATTGCAGCAATTAACAATTACAATTAAGAGACAGACAGTCCTTTACATGCAATAATATCAAATACACGACTAAAAATACGCCTCACGTGAGCGTTTTTTATTTTCTTAATCTTGTAACTTTTGACTGTTTTCTTTTTTGTTTATGGGGACAGAAAATTTTTACAATGCATTCACAACGTTCACTGTTCAGAGCTGTTTCCACATTGCGTGTCATTCTTGTTCGTTCTGAAATCAGAAAGCTCCATTTGGCCACGCATGGCAAGCGCTGTACAAATACAGCGGGCCAATGTGTGTGTGACATCAGTGATGTCTTCACAGAAATAAAATCACAGGAGCTGACCAAGGTTGTGGTGACAGCAGTTTATTCCCTGTATGCTGACAGCAAAATGGGGATGAGTGTCATCTATGAGAGCAAATGGCATTCTTTCGATTGAAGGATGGTACAGCGTAAACATGAGCCATTTCCACGATGAACTTAAAAATCTTCTTCTTCTCCTTTCGGCACGTCCCTATTCAGGGGTCGCCACAGCGAGTCAGTAATTTCCATCCGCCCCTGTAAACCGTCCTACCAACTCGCATGGTCGTCTTGGCAAAAGTTTTATGCCGGATGCCATTCCTGACGCAACCCTCCCCATTTCTCCGGGCTTGGGACCGGCACTGGGGAACAGTGCACCCCCAGGGGAGGGCACTGCTCCCCAGCGGCTGGGTTCCACGATGAACTTAAAAATAATTGAACAAAACATGTCAAGCATTCATTTGACTAACTAAAACATCAAAATTACAACATAAAAAGAGGACCCTTCTCCTCCCTCCCCAACATACAGATACCTATCACCAGATGCCAATGCGCGCGCGCACACACACACACACACACACTTTAAAAAAAGCCATGGCAAGGCACAGAGAACCATGAGGAAAAGAGCACTCTATGGGAGCTAGCTGGCATGTCCATCAAATGAACCCCCCACCCCACCCAGAAAAAAATACAGTAAAATAGAGAAATATTCGCGGAATAAGAATATAGAAGTTCATGAAAAAGAGAAATATTCGCGGATAAAGAGTATAGAAGTTCGCGGGAAAAAAAAAGGTACCCTGGATCAGGTTCTTCTGCGTAAGAGGAGGTTCAAACATAAAAAAAAAAAAAAAAAAAAAAAAAAAAACCAAAAAAAAAAAAAACATTACAAAACCAAAAAAACCCCAAAAATTACTAAACCAGAAAATAAAATAAAAAATACAAAACCAGAAAATGGAAAAAAAATTACTAAATCAGAAAAAATAAACAAATATAGAGGGAGAGTTTATTAGGGAAAGTGAATGGTTCAATCTGAGACAAATACCAAACCATTCTGAACGAGTGTTATTGAGTGAACAAGTGAGAAATGCATATGACGTGTGTGTGTGTGGGGGGGGGGGGGTTGCCAGAAAAAGAACGAGCGAGTGAGAAAGAACGACTGACAGATTGGATGAGGAAGTGTTGTGAGGATGGATGGTTTCCTCCAATGTCTTCAACTGCATGTTTGGTGACATAGATGAAAGAAACAGAAAAGGCCTGTGCTATAAAAATGCAGATTTTCGAGTTGGAAGTGGAAAAAACAGATTGTCTACGAAAGGCAAAAAGGTGCGGAAGGATGTTAAGAAAGTTGTTAAAATGAAAGCAAGAGCAAGGATGATGGCAATAGGATATGCGTTAAAATTGTCAGAGAGGGAAGTGTTGGTCTGGTACCGCCAATGCCCAAAAGGCCCTCTGCGCCGTCATCTTACTCAGAGGAGAAACAACTTGCAACATTGTCTCCAATTGACCCATGCATGCCGTCACCTTGCCGTGAAATTAGGAAAGCGCTGAGTGAAGTTCAGGCTCCAATATTGAATGTAACTACAGGCCGACTTGAAGTAGATGTAGATGCTCAAACGTTTAACACTCACTCACAACAGACAACATCAAACATGAATGAAGTTGCAGAAACTTTGGCTGCTGGGGTGACCGCCGTCATGAGAGAATTAGAAGATAAATTAAAAAAAGTTCCAGACTTGAAGGTCAACCCATTCACACGTCTGACTCAGATAAGACTATACATGACAGAATTAAACAGACAAGACTATACATGACAGAATTAAACAGACACGAGAGGTTCCACAAAATATTAGAGATGAACATAAAAAAAATCGCCACTGAACATGAAGACAGAGCAAACACTGAGGCAGAAGAGCAGAATCATGCCCTTCGCGCTGAATGAGATGCTGCCCAACTGAAAATGGAACAGAAAGCTGCTCTCTATGCTGCACAACACGCAACTCGAGGTCCTTCAAATGAAGAGATGGACAACAGGTTCCACATTGCTCAATTACAGAATCAATTAAAAAAAATTTAAGTGTCATGTCCAGACGCTTTCAGATGCACACCCTGACCCCGCTTTGGACCAAACCAGAGGTCTTGCAGACCCAGAAGAATCTTCCGAAAATCCTTCTCTTCCTGCTTCTCGGCCTGCGACCTGTTTCCAAATCTTGCAGGCACCCGTGTTAACTCAAGTTGACCCATCCGCTGGTAACTCTGCTATGTTTTATAAACCTTTCTCTCCCACTGAAGTGAGTGCGTTGATGCAGAAACTTACGCCTATGCAATCCGGCGGTGTCAATTGGCTTCAAATAGTGCAGAGAGCGGTTACGGGACAAATGTTGACAGCAGGTGATATCCGCGTTCTCCTAACACAAGCATGTCCGCTTTCACAATTAAATACTTTGTTGCAAAACTCAGGCTTCTCTTCTCTACCCGACAATCAGGCCCTTACACGAGAAAATTACATGACCTTGTCCACAGCTTAAAATGCTTTGTTTCCCCTCCCTGAGTGTGTTATCTCAGATTTGGTGTTCACTCCCAAAGGAGATGAGGAGGCTGCAGCCTTTGTTGCCCGGGCCTTCACTGGTTACACTCTGAAAACAGGACACGCACCTACGGCCCCCGCCTTGCATTCGCAAGTGTTCCGAGCAGCCATTTTGATAGGCGTTTCCAAGTCTGTGATGCAGGCCATGGAAGCCAATCTCGACCTTCCTGGTGCTGAGCTTGACCGGTGGTTGTCACATCTTAAACATCATCTGAGGAGATGTGACGGGTCTCACAACTGTGACTGTCTTGAGCTCCTCGTTGCTGCCGCCTCAATAACACCAGACACGTGGAGGTGGCGTTTTCTTTCTTTTAATACTGCAAAACAGAATGGCAGGAGAGATCGATGAAGTCGCATTGGGCTCTCGGACATAATATGTGACTACCATGTCATCTCTCCCTTAACAAAACATCATCCATAACAAAACAAAATAAACAACAAAACCAAATACACAACATGGGTGATCGTATAGTAATTATGTTCAGAAAAAGAAGAAAAAGAACATAGTCACTATTATTTACGTCAGGGGTCCCCAACCGCCAGTCCGCGGACCGGTACCATTACATCCGTCTGTGTCACGCTTGACACAGTCAAGCCACGCTTCTCCATCACGTGACCGATTACTTCAAAACAAAACGCAGGAGCTCGCACAATGAGTAAAAAAAACTGCTGGAGATCGCAAATCACGGCGGCCTTAAAAGTATGTTCGAGACAACTGGATTAAAGTTATGGCTGAATACTCTGAGATCGCCACAATAGCAGTGTTGCTATTTCCGACATCCTACCTGTGTGAGGCGGGGGGTCTGCAGCAACTGCGACTAAAACAAATGCAGAAAATCAAGCTCGGTGCTGTGGTGAGTCGTCATTTTTATGCACTTTGAATTTGCGTTGCATCGTATTTTGAAGGCATTAAACATTGCCATAGCGATCGGAGTGGTGCGACCAGATTAGACGCTCCTTGTGTTTATTATATTTTGAAAACACCACAGTTTTCATGCAGCTCATACCATATTATTTCGTTGTATTATTTCCGCCACACCTTACATGTCCCTGAAAATATTGTCTGACAGAAACCGGTCCGTGGGGCAAAAAAGGTTGGGGGTCCCTGATTTACGTGATGTCTTTGAACACATCACATGCAGCCGAAACGGCTGCGCAACGTACAGTAATGGCGGCCGTGACGAACTGCGGACACACGCCAGTAACACCAACGGCCAAATGAAGAATGACACGAGCAACTTTATACAGTAAAACCGAAAGGAAACAAACATTACCTGCAACACAGTATAGCGGGAGGGATAGATGAAGTCGCATTGGGGTTTCGGTCTATGACAAAACAAAGCAACAGACAAGCACTCTTAACAGATAAAAACTTCCATTCGACAAAACGAAAGTTAAATGTAGCCGGGTCTTTGGAATGACTGGACTGAACACAAAATAATTTTTATCTCGGCTTTATTCCCGACTGAACAATATAACATTGTACAGCGTTAAGATGAAAGACTGAGATGTAAACTGAATTTTAAGAGTTCGAAAAAAAAGGGATCTAAGAGATCAAAGAAAATTATCTGACAGATTAAAGAAAACTACACAATAATAAACAACAGCAGTGTCCTGCTTGATCGGGAAAGAGAAATAAAAATACATTATTTCCAAGCCACAACATTTCATGAAACTTAAAAGTGCAGACCGACTAATCATTACAATCCAGTGTGTTGAGAGGACACACTTGACACTTTCCACGCAAAACGTGGAAAAACACAAATGATCTCTCCTCGAAAGAACATATAACACAGTTCATATAATTTCACAGTCAAAAAAAAAACCTATTTACATCTTGTAACGTTGCGAACACTTACGCTGTACAGCTGTTCACACGACTCACTAGCGGCAGATTTCAAACTCCAAACCACGATATTTTGCTCTACAAATAATAATAATAATAATAATAATACATTACATTTATAAGCGCCTTTCAAAACACTCAAGGACACTTTACAATCAAAACAAGAACAATAAAACCACAGATAAAATTATAAATAATAAAAGGAGAGATGAATACTATTCAAATAATTAATCACCCGTCCAAATATAACACCTAACATGCTTCATGGTAAAATAGCGACCAATTACCTGAATATCTCCAGGGTTAAACCGACGATTATGGGTGTATCAAGTTGGGACGAGCGGCATACACAGTTCAGTGACTACTGTATCTTCCTTCAGATGGATGTCCTGCTCCCCTCACTCCCTGGTCTAATTCTCACTCGCGCTGTATGTTCCCGCGTGTTTTTAGCAAGCCTGTTTTAAAGTGACAGTGCTACATTGGTTAAACAAGGCAGCCTTCACGACAAAAGTCTAAGTATGGTTCACCTGGTTCTATAAATAATAGAGCTGTCAGTGTAGCGCATTTTTATTGGCATTAATTTAAATGAATTTTAATGGGATTAAACTTTTTCTTGCGAGATTAACGCGGCAGACATCACAGCGGATGTTACGTTGCTCTATAAACAAACCAGAAACAAAACAACAAGCGCGCTGCACATGTCCACGCATGTTTGTTTTGCCAGCCACGGCAGCGCGAGACACCGAAAACGGATACCTTAAGAGTTTATGAATGAAGAGTTTACTTTTAAAAAGTTGCCAGATTGTTCCACTGACAAGACCAAAGTTACCTCTATGTTTTGCAGTCGTAAACTGAGCTATCATCATAGCACGTCGAGTCTGAAATACCACTGAATGGCCAGGCACACAGCTGACGTGAGTACTCCGCCCCCTGGTCTCAGACAGCTATGGATAATTTCAAAGCGAAGAAAATGGATAACACGACGAAGAACATATTTGCTGAAGCCATAGCTAAATGTATGGCTACTGCATGCAAGCCTGTCAACATTGTCCACAGCTCGACTCAAGCTGAAACTGACGCGATTGTTACTTGTTTGGAACTATTTTGTGTGGAAGGTTACAGTGTTCCGTGGCCATATAAATAAAGCGGGTGGAGCTTCTCTGTGTTCGTCTGACAGCGACGGTGCGCTGAGGCACCTCGAGAGTTCAGCGGTGCAGTGGTAGCGACCTAGCGAAAACACTGAAAATAAAACGTCTCCAGTGTTGTCATATAACCAAGTATAGGCATCCGAAATACACCTACACAAAACCGTAGAGAGACTTCCGAGCAAGAAGGGCCAACAGAATCAACATCGCCTGACTGCTGTGTTCAAAGCAAACTTGAGAAAAACGAAGTATGCAACCATGGCTTAACCTCCTGAGACCTGGCGTCCACATGTGTGGACATGACGTTTTGGGTTGTCGAGACTACAATGTTAAATTTTGGACTACAAGGGCCTGGCGTCCACTTACGAGGACGTTACATCATGTAAAAAGATAATTCTTTGTTTTTACACTCACCAGGTCCCAATTAGCCTAAATATCAAAGAGAAAATAAAAATGAACTAAAAATGCATGCCTTGCAAGAGGTCAGGTCTTAGGAGGTTAAATCCACTACAGGCTGAGTACTAGTTTACCTTAGATGTGCACTTTATAATGTTATATTGCTCTGTATTGATTCCATAAAAAGAGCTGTTAAAGCAGCTGTTGTGTGACAAAATATTTTTTTCACTGTTGTTGATGGACAGTAATATTGTGTGAGAGATTATGTGTGAATTGCTCCAAGTGAAAAATGTTCATGTAAAATTGAAAATCGAAATTATTTCAGTAAATATTTGCATTTTGCACATAGAAAACTGATTTATGATTCCATGTTGATGAGAGCATTAAAATGGGGAAAAATAGGACAAAAAAATATAAAAGGAAATTCAGAAACGATAAAAAATGCGTGAGTAATCACGATTAATTTTTAGTGAATTTGAGTTAATTATGACAGTTGCATTTTTAATTTGATTAAATATTTTAATCGTTTGACAGCTCTAATAAATAACAATACAAAAAGCAATATGGACTCGGAACAAATCAGGGAACTAATTAAATACACCGCACAGTAGAAAAAGGGAAAACAAAGTGAAATATTGTAATGAAATTAGAAATGAATCCGAACCGTCAATGACACGCGAATTACCATGCCTGTCATACCCTGTCAGCTCTGCCTGAGCTACGACGGTAAGCTGGTGCCATACCATACGCTATTGCGTCACTTCCGTCATAATTTAATAAACTTAATGTATCACTCCATTACATAAACATGCTAAAGACAAGGAGTCTAAGGTAGACACACACAAAATTACAGAAACACAACTTGCTCTATTACATTTGCAAAATCTAATAAACCAGAAGAAACCGCTTCTGCTGTGGTCTCCTCTCCTGTCGGTTCCGAGTGCAAGCAGGTTCATTCATGGGTCAAGGTGCACCCCCTGGTGGCCGGAATATGTGCTTCAATTGTGGACAGCCTTGCCATTGGGCCCGTGACTGCAGACAGCAATCCCATGCATCCGTGTGGAGGGGCAGGGACAGAGGCAGGGGTCAGCAATCTGCACGTGGCTCCAATCGAGGAGGTTACTATCAACCCCGAGGGAGAGGGTATCCTTTGCAGTACGAACAACAACCTCAACAACAACCGCAACAGCAACCGCAGCAACAACAAGGATATTCCTCGGTGCCTAATCAACAGTACCTGCCTCCCTCTGGTGGACAGTTTCCGCAATGACGGTGCCTTGAATCTACATGCTTGGGCCTGCAGGAGCCCTTGATGATACTGACGGTAGGAGGATCCTCTTTGTCATTCATGATCGACACGGGAGCTCGGTATTCTACCATTACAGCCCTGCCACCTGATACCTCTCTTACCAATAAAAGCATCTCACTTGTTGGATTCAAGGGTGAAGAAACTGCCCTGCAATTGGCAACTTCAGTGACTGTTCAATGTTTCTCACAAACTCTTTTCCATTCTTTTGTGTTTGCGCCCAACTGCCCAGTCAATCTTTTGGGCAGAGATCTCCTCATCACCACGTGCCCTCTCATCAAATGCAGCCCTGATGAACTTATCTTGGAATTTCCGGGTGGTAACACCTACTACTGCTGCTCTGCCGCCTCTGCCTCCAGCGCCACCTCCCAGTTTCCGCTTGTTGAGCAACGCCCTGTGGCATGCGCCACTGCTGACTTCTACTGGGCTAAAGTGGACATTGACTGCAGCGGTTGGCTCGAAGCAGATCGCTTTAGGACTCTCTGGTTGCCTCGAGTTCATAACCTCAGATTTTATGATATGGTATCTGATTGCATGCATTGCACTCTGTACTATGACAGATCAGGGAATGAGATCTACAGCGAGGCGTTTCAGGAAATTGAAAACAACACATGGGAATTGAACATTGGTGATTTATTTGCAGGCAAACCAGGCGTCGCCTTTTCAGTGTCTCTGACTCCCGAACAACTCAAATGGTACATGATGGTGAATCCTCCAGATCCTTCCATGCCTCCTTGTCACCCATATGTCTCCCTGATGGTTTCACCCCCGCACACAGCAAAGGATCTGGGTCCGTATGTCTTGGCTTGCACACAGGGCACAGATTGGCAAGATTCATTTCACTTTCAATTACTCTATTCCCCATCTCTTGATGCTTATTGGATTCAATCAGACACATTTTCACCTATTTCTGTTTTGGAACACCAGCTTTTGGATAGACACCATGGACGTGAAACAACCGACAGCGATTTTGCGGGTCAACTTATTGATTCTCTTCCTGCGTCGCTTTGGTCCATCGATCCCACTGGTGTTGGTTTCTGTAACGTCTCACCTATTGTTTTTCAGATGAAACCAGGACAAGTACCGTATTGGCCTGAATATAAGACGGTGTTTTTGCATTGAAATAAGACTGAAAAAGTGGGGGTCGTCTTCTATTCGGGGTCTAGACATTATACCCATTCACGACGCTAGATGGCGCCAGATACCATTGAAGCGAATGCTGAACTTGACTCCCCAGGCCAAAGCGAACCCCTGTCACGAAGAATAAAACTAAAAATAGTGGTAGCACAAAGAAAAAAAGAAAAAATAGCAGTAAGAAAGAAAAGAGAAGAAAATAATAGAAGAAATAACAGAAAATGGAGAAACGTAGCGACAATCTGGAGAAAAGTAGGTCAAAGATCGGCCAGGTTAACCGGCAGCTGAGGAGAAATTATGATGTAATTTACATTTCAAAAACCAGAAGCCATTCATTTACGAATGTGATTGTACTTTAGATTTAAATGAGGAAAAATAACATGCTTTTTCTCTCAAATATATTGTTATAATCATTTGTTTCAGATGTACTGTAATTATCTTCTGTACAAAAATGAATTTGGTGTTCAAAAAGTCTTTTTTTAAACTTGAGTCTTGAAAAAGAGGGGGTCGTCTTATAATCAGGGTCGTCTTATATTCGGGCTAATATGGTATATGTTCCTCAATACTCTGTAAAAGAGGCTGGGATGATTGGCATTTCGGAAACGATTGAAGGCCTGCTCAAAGCAGGAGTGTTGTGTGAAATGTCCGGCTCTGACAATAACACGGCCATTTTACCCAATGAAAAGAAAGACACCTGAAGGTTTCGCATGGTCCATGACCTGCGAGCGATTAATGCAGCCGTCTTAAAGGTGGGAACCTTGCCCGTCCCGAACCCTCACTCGGCATTGTCTCAAATTACATTGGCCCACAATCATTTTACATGCATCGACTTGGCCAACGCTTTCTTTTGCATTCCACTCCATCCTTCAATGAAGCAATTTTTTGCTTTGACTTGGAATGGCGTTTGCTACTCCGACAATCGTCTGCCTCAAGGCTTTGTCCTTTCACCCAGACTATTCAACGACTGCCTTCTCCAACTGCTGTCCTCACTTGTACTGCCCCCTGGTGTTCTCTTGTTGCAGTATGTAGATGATCTCCTGCTGGCAGCTCCATCTAAATCTTCCTGTCTGGAGGCCAGCAGATCTCAGCTTTCTCACTTGACCTCTGTTGGGCTGAAGTGCTCCAAGGCCAAACTTCAGATTGCCCGTCCACAGGTTTCCTTTCTTGGACGATTAATCTCACGCCATGGCACACGAATGTCTCCCTCTCACAAGGACGATATCTTCCATCACCCAAAAACAACAAAAGTCAAAACCATGCGAGCCTTTCTCAGTCTTTGCAACTATTCCAGACATCATGTTCCAGACTTTGCTGAACTCACTCACC